TGTTTCATGAAATTATCTTCGGAAAGTAAAACAAAAGGCACGTATACGATAAACGTATCGATAAGTCGCAGAAAGCAAAGCACATAATTTCGTGTGAAAAAAAGAAATTCTTTTAAATCAGATTCGATTTATAATTGTAGAGCAGAATTAATTCAACGAAATATCTTATCGTTTCTAATTCCTTCTTGAAGGTATTGTTAGAACGCATCGTTCTGCATTTTTGCTAACAATTTCCTCCATGGTCAACCGATAAGTTTAAAAACTGTATCATCGTAGAAACTAGGATAAAATAATTATCATGCTATCCTAGAAACGAGTCACCGAACGTATACGCATTACAAAACAGTTTACTTTTTCCTTGTTCATGCTGTTCAACAAATTATCTTTCCTATATGTAATACGAATTGTACCAAAACATATTTCTACATCTATTACAATAATTAGGAATAAATATTATTGCTATTAATAACAAAAAATCTGGTCAGTTTAGTAGTATATGACACACTAGGTGCGTCATCGATTTGACTGCATATGACACATCTGGTGCATCGTCTATTTGGTAATATATGACACACATGGTGCGTCGTCCATTTGATAGTACATGACACGCCTGGTGTGTCATCAGTTTAGTAGTATATGACACACGTGGTGCGTCCTCCATAGTATATGACACAGATGGTATGTCCTCCGTAGTATATGACACACCTGGTGTGTCGTCAATTCAGTAGTACATGACACACCTGGTGTGTCATCAGTTTAGTAGTACCTGATACAACAGTTGCGTCGTCAATTTTTACATATCTACCAACAATTCAAAAATCATCTAAATATATTATGACTAGTCCCAAAATTGTGATAAAAATATTCCACAAAACAACTTATGCTTCAATGAACTTATGCTTCAAGTTTCGTAAAACTTTACCTTCAAATTAAAATTAATAATTTTTATCGTCTCTTTAACATTCTAAACACGTATCAGACGTTCTTTTCACTTCGTACACAGATACGTAGTCAGCCGTCTCATTAGTTTGCGGATAATAAATCATATAAAAGGGCACGAGTGGAACGCGTCCAAGAACCGCGTATAATTCATTCGAATTTGTTTAGCGATTAGTCAGCTAGGTTCATCTGCATTCGGAATTCGTGCAACAAACCCGATTCAGGGATCAAGCCTGCGGTCGTCGGCTTTTGCAAAGAGGAATTCTCGGAAAAGAATAGAAAGAAGGCTTAAAAAACTGTGTCCGATGATTCACAAGTGTATCGCGCGAACCCACAGGGTGGCCACTTCCTTGATATCACCGGTACCAATGAAATTTGTACGGGGATTCGTCAACGTTCATTGTTCGATCGCGAACAATCGAGCTTTGTCGTCTTTTACTTGTAATTATTTCTGCAACCTTCAAACTTGAAGTTTCAACAATTACTTCTTTGCAATTTGCGGTGGAAACACTGTGACACACTGTGGTCCCATGTCTGTTGAATATGAAATATTATGTGGTATTTAATATTGTGAAGTACTTAATGGACGAAAGCAAAATTTTTAAAATAAAAAATTTAATTTGAAGCTTGAATTTTGTACATGATAGATTCTTGTTATATTGCAATCAACTTTGCAAGGTAATAAAAATTAGAAGTGGCTTATTTCTACGAACACTTCTTTCGAGAGAATTATACCTGAAGCGAATATAAAGTAACGTAGAAGAGTGCAATGTTCATCCAAAATTAACTTAGGACTCTTAGTGTATCCTTCAGTAAATAGCCTATGTTACGTGCAGGTACTTAATGAAAGAAAAAAGAAAAATAATTCAAATTCAACTTATTCTGCTGAAGTACAAAATAAATATGGTTCTTTACTATACAAAATGTATGAAACTTTAATCAAAATTATGGAAAAATTCAAAATTAACTTTTCACGTAAAAGAAAGTACATTAGTCCTCAATTAAAGAAAATCTACAACCACCAAAACAATCTATAATTTAAAAAAAAAATGTCACACAAAATTTTAACAAGCTAACAACTTATTTAAGGATCTATTGCACAAAAGAAATTAATCATATCACATTATTATTCCATCAAATTGCTACATTATCCCTGGAACTGTTGAATGAAGGAAATGATCGGATAAATTTCTGTGATACCATCAAACATATCGAGGAACCAGACAAATCAAAAAACTGGTTTTCGAAACAGTGTTTTGAAGAAATATTGCGCGGCAAATCGAAACCATTGTGGCTACACAACGGATTACAACAATTTCTCGTTTCACAAGGCTCGTTTCTATATGATTTCGTTTTTTATACGATTGTATCACCGTGTTTCTTGCGACTCAACTTGGGTGGTGGTGAAAAAGGAAAAGAAAAAATATTCGGAAAACATTGATCATGTTTGCGTCGAATTTTCTTGAGGAATGTTCTGACTACGTGTTTTGGTATTTCTTTCGGAAATTAGATGTGCTAACCACAAAAGCAATTTTTAGGTAAAAGTTTGGTATGATTTACCTTAGACAGATGTAGAAAATTTAAATTATTTCATAAAAATTTAGTACCTTGCTTTTATTTAAATTTTGTGATTGTCTTAATGTCTTCATAATACAATTGATAGACTTAAAACTGAATTAATATTAATTTTCAATGCAGAAATCAAAATATAATTCAACCTACAGTTTAATATAATAAAGTAAAGTAATAAATATATAATAAAAATTATAACAAAAAATTTAAAACTGTATCTCAAAAAAAATATATGAATTTTAAGACAGAGTTAAATAAAAATATAAATGCACACGTAACTGAATCAAGAATGAACATACTGTGTCAATTATCAAGATCTATAAATCTTTCGAAGTAATTACTCGTTCCAGAAACAATAAAACGATGAGACCATGACGGGAAAAACGTTTTCCTTTTATACTATGACAAAAATTAAGGAACAATGTCTGAGCTTCGTATTATTATTGAACACGGAAATGGTCCTGATACGCCACGATCGATACAGATTAAAATCATGATAAACGCGTATGAAAAGGAAATTATGGTCTGAGTAACTGTTTTGTGCTTACAGCAGTGAGACTGTAATTAACCGAGCGAAGACTGCGTGTTAATTTGTGTAATGTGATGGCGAATAATTTTTGTTAAATATTTTTAATCTATGAAGTTATGGTTTTAGTTGAACATTTTGATAACCCTGTGAATAATAGGGTATCACTTTTTATTTATTGTTATATTGTATGAAAAATATGGTGTATATAGCTGATTATTGATACATCATTTTATATAATGTTGGACAATTAATAATATTGCCATAAAATAGAAACAAGTATTCGTATTTACGAAACGCGAGAGTTACTTAAAATTAACTTTATAATGTATAAACAGCTTAAGTACTCATTTAGTATAATACCTGAAATATAATGTAGAATAATTAATGACACAGTAACAAAGTAGTAGTAGAAAAGTAAAATAGCAGAGCAGTAAACATCAGAAAATTTGCAAGAGTCAAAACTCTCACCCCACTAGAAAGCATAGTAGATACAAGATCCACAGAAGAATGATCGACGAGCCCCCAACAGGCGTTATAGCATGTACAGTCGGGTGCAACATGAACTCTCTGTAGATAAGGATAAGTATAAGATCACTTCAACATTTGTGTTCGATTTTAAAGATCAAGTATGTACACCTGACAATTCTTCAATTCTCGGGTCCCAATTTCCCAGAGTCCCAATTGTCTAAGGTACCAAATTTCCCAGAGTCCCAAATTTTCCGAAGCCCCAATCTCCCAAGGTCCCAATTTCTCAAAGTTCCAAATTTCCAAAGTCCCAATTCTCGAAGGTCCCAATTTCCCAAGGTCCCAATTTCCCAAGGTCCTAATTTCCCAAAGGCCCAATTTTCCGAGGTTCCAATTTCCCAAAGTTCCAATTTCCCAAGATCCCAATTTCTCAAGTTCCCAATTTCTCAAGGTCCCAATTTCCCAAGGCCCTAATTTCCCAAGGCCCCAATTTCCCAAGGTCCCAATTTCCCAATTTCCCAATTTCCCAAGGTCCCAATTTCCCAATTTCCCAATTTCCCAAGGTCCCAATTTCCCAATTTCCCAATTTCCCAAGGTCCCAATTTCCCAATTTCCCAATTTCCCAAGGTCCCAATTTCCCAATTTCCCAATTTCCCAAGGTCCCAATTTCCCAATTTCCCAATTTCCCAAGGTCCCAATTTCCCAATTTCCCAATTTCCCAAGGTCCCAATTTCCCAATTTCCCAATTTCCCAAGGTCCCAATTTCCCAATTTCCCAATTTCCCAAGGTCCCAATTTCCCAATTTCCCAATTTCCCAAGGTCCCAATTTCCCAATTTCCCAATTTCCCAAGGTCCCAATTTCCCAAGGTCCCAATTTCCCAAGGTCCCAATTTCCCAATTTCCCAATTTCCCAATTTCCCAAGGTCCCAATTTCCCAAGGCCCTAATTTCCCAAGGCCCCAATTTCCCAAGGTCCTAATTTCCCAATTTCCCAATTTCCCAAGGTCCCAATTTCCCAAAGTTCCCATTTCCCAAAGTCCCAATTTTCCAGAGTCCCAACTTTTCCAAGTCCCAAACTTCCAACTCCCAAGCTCTCAACTTCCCAAAACACCTACAAAAAAATTTCCCAAATTCCTAAATTCCCACATTCGCAAAACTCCCAAATTCCTAACTTTCTAAAAATTCTAACCTTCCCAAAATCCCAAACCCTCAAATATTCCAAACACCCAAATTTCTTCCTCACCAAATTCCCACCACTAAAATCTCCCAACCCAACCTCATAATTCCCCGAAACCAAAAACCCAAAGAAAGTCTAACCAATTCAATTCGAAAACTCGGAGCTCCATTTCCCGCTAAAAATCGGCAGCGAGTGTGCGTTTCCTCGCGCCGTAATTTTCCCTAGGGAAGCGAGTTTTACCGTTGACTGTACGTTCGCGAGTCGGTGTTGGTCGCGTAGCGTCGTGGTGGGAGGCCTCAATAAAAGTCAGTGGCAGACTGATTGTAATTCAGAGTGGCGGTAGACTCCGGTACCAGTTCCCGGTACGGTCGCGTCCTTTCTTCCTCTTCTTTCTTCGCCGTTCCTTCGCGGATTCTGTTCGGAAGCTCCTCTCCGTTGATCGCCGAAAAACGACAGTTACACGGAAGGAGACGCCGTCAAGCGATCCCGCGTGCCTTTCGTTCTCTGTCACCGTGAAAACTCGTGCTTCGTTGGCGAACACAATCGGTCGGAGAGGAATTACCAGTGGCGAACGAACCACCCGCCAGGGAACACACGAAATCGATAGTGTCGTGGCAACGACGGTTAAGACTGACCCTGTAGGCTAGTTGCCCTAACGGTCTAACCCTGGAGAGACCCGTTCTTCCGACTAGTATTCCCAGGGTAGACACGCGTTTCGTGCAGGAACGCTCGTCGAGATTCGCCGGCAGACTTCGAATGATCGAGAGGACACGTGCGTCCAGGAATCGTCGCGTTATCCTGCGATCCTTCGGGAAGTCAAATTGAAGGGCAACGTGTTGTGCGGACAGTGTCCGGGTGAAGAAAGGACCGAATTGTGTATAGGACACTCGCTGGAGCTTTCTCTTCGAGAAATACTAAGAAGATGGCCAGGTGGAGTGGGCTTTTGAGATGGGAAAGATGTGCCGGAAGTGTCCTGTTGGCGATACTCGCTGTCTCGAGCGTCAGGACCGAGGAACAGGCTCCATCTATCTCGCAGACCGCGGCTATGGTAAGTTTTCCAAATTTTGAACCGGTTTTGGACTCTCAAATCCACGTCGTTTTAAAATATTCGAGGTACTTGATTTGTGAACAATTTACAAATTCGATTTAGATCGTACGATGTCATACGATGTGATCGTACTATACTGTGATGTATTAGTAATATTACAGCTGATTGTGGTAGGTAATTGATAGTATTAATTGTGACTACCTATTGTTGCTACAATTTGTTTAGAAAATTTCTTCGATATCTTTTCAACCGAATCACGTGTAAAGTTTAACTGATATCTTATCGGATTTATCTTATTCATTAGTCTATCTCTAGTTGATTAATGATGTCCAGGAAAGCTGTCAGTTTTTGTGACAGCCATAGATCAGTTTCGAACTTGAATTTTTATGTCGTACTTTGACTTATTTTATCTTGTGCAGTGCTTTTAATATGCATTAGGTTCGCTATTCAATTAGGGTCATATGCATTTGTTAAATATTCATGAGATAAAATCCTGCGTTGTGGCACGCTATAATTACTATTATTCAGAACGCGATCGCTTCATTTTTAAGTTTGAATTTTCTGGTTTGAGGAATTATCTCTGAGATCAAATTTAACTTGTGATATTTTATAAATTGATGTGTTCCTAGGACCCTAAATTCTTGGATTGCTATACCACTAAATCTTCAAATCTCTGCATTTCTAAGTCCCCAAATCAGATTCTAAATTTCAAGGTTATTAGATCCTGCATTCAAATATTCTCAAATTGCCCAAGGTCCCAATTTTCTAAAGTCCCAATTTCCCAAGGTCCCAATTTCCCAAGGTTCCAATTTCCCAAGGTCCCAATTTCCCAAGGTCCCAATTTCCCAAGGTCCCAATTTCCCAAAGTCCCAATTTCCCCAATGTTCCAATTTCCCAAGGTCCCAATTTCTCTAAGTCCCAATTTCTCAAATTCCCAATTTCCCAAGGTCCCAATTTCTCTAAGTCCCAATTTCCCAAAGTTCCAATTTCCCAAAGTTCCAATTTCCCAATGCCCCAATTTCCCAAGGTCCCAATTTCCCAATTTCCCAAATATCCAAATTTCTATATTTTTATATAACCGAAATTACTAGATTTCTCTCTCCCTATTTCTAGGTTCCTATAATCCTAGATTCCTAAATATCTAGATCCCTATAATTCTAAGTCCTATATCCCTATATCCTTAGATCCCTATATCCCTATACAGCCATCTCCACAATCCCATTCAGAAAATGCAATATATCAAGAACACACGTCCCACAATACAAGAAACAAAGCCCATCAAAATAATGAAATCCAGACCACAGGTCTAAAGTCACCCACACATTTACATCTACACAAAAGCTAGACACCTATAAACGGTATCTTTGTTTCATAGAGGAGTGTCTTACCTTTGTACGTACAACAAAAGAAAAGAAACCTACACAAGTAGATAAAAGTACAGCAGTGTTTCGTTCAAGTTCAATCTGATTCTCATCGAGGTAACGAATAGTTTCACAACGTTACGAGGAATTACGTGAATGTCGAACGGCGACAATGGCCGACAAATAAGCGAAAATGAAAGGAAAAATGCGGGTTGTGCAATCTGTTCCTGATCGGAAGCATTTTCGCGGCTGTTCGCGGAAAATCAAGCGTTCCGAACGCAACAAGTCGATCAGCGGAGACTGCGCAGAGGAAAATACCTGAACAGAGGTGGTTATTCGCGGGGAAAGAAAATTGATTCGCGGGAAATCTATCGTTTTCTGCGCCGTGTGTCATACGTGAATGAGTAATACGCGCACGTTGTGTATTGTACGTGTTTCGTTCGACCACGCGAATAACATTCCAAAGGAAACGTTTATCTCGCTGACACTGATACACAGATTACGATGGACATGGGTTATCGCGTAACGAATCACGATCGTTCGAACGTTCTTACTTTGTTCGATTTTCCTCTTTTGCTAATTTTGGAACCTAGAAATTTTTCTTCGTTCTCTAATTTTATTGGGGTTGAGGAAATTTATTCTTAGAGATTTCATTTAACTTTTGTTTGACTTTCGGATTATTAGATGCTTTGGTATAAGGTTGATTAGAATATTTGCAAGCTTATAATTAATTGTATGTGCAAAATTATTAGCGTGGTTTATTTTCTTTTTATGTCTAATATTTTACAGTAATTTTGTTATAATAATTTTTAGCTTGATAGATACCTTGTTTGTGATCATTAATATTTCTTCATTTATTCACATTAGTAGTTTTGCAAATTTTAGTTATTATTTATAACTGGAAATTTATTTTTTCTGCTACTCTCATGTGATTCAATTTTACATTATTCTCAAACTATTTATATTTGTAATTTCAATATTTTGAAATTTATTTTATAATTTAATTGGACAACTACAAGTTTAGGTATATTTTAATTGAGCAACTATAAGTATATGTTCCAATAGAACTGCCATAACTATGACTATATTTTAATTGACTAACTATAATTATGATTAGACTTCAATATTATTATGCTTTCATAACTACAATTATAATTGAACTTTAATTGAGTAACTATGACAACAGCAATATTGAAAGTGAATAACCATAATCATAACTAAATTTCAGTCAAATAATTGTAACAATGACTCATATATTTTAATCCAATAATTTTAATAATTTAAAATTATACTAACTTTATATTTTAAATGAGCATTAATTTTGTCTGAGTTTGGTAACCAAAGTGATCGAGAATACATCGTAATAAGCGTCAACGTTGTACCATTATTTTATTATTAGTAATTACGATTGTGCAATTAGGTTCGCAACGACACCGAAGTAACTCGTGATGCCAGATAGAGAACGAGAGGAATGTTGCATAAATAATTTAGTCTATTCGACGTATGTCTGCAGGTATGCAACGCATTGAAAAAGAGAAAAAAAAAGAAACTGGAGACCGGTTTCCGACGTAATGACATAAGGTCGGACAATGTGACGTCACTTTGGCTACCTTCGCTAACAAAGTTCAGCTACGTGATGATGACTCGTTCCCGACCTTCGATTCATTGAAAAGAATGGCTTGCGGTAGTGCTAACTTTTTACCGAGAAATCTCTTATGCGTTTAGTGCCAAACTTTCGTTAATTAATTTCGTTAGAAGATGTTCTTTTTTTTAAATTATATAATTCGTCAGGAAGAAAATATTGATTTTCTTACTATCACATCTAATTAATTTTATTATTTTTTTATAATATTAGTTGAAATAGGTCCCTTAATTTTAACCCAACAATTTCATTCACTCGATTTTAAAATTAATTCTGATGCACATTTAATTGAATCGACAGATGAAGAAATAAAATTCGAGTCGAATTAAATCGAATGAAGAATTAATTCATAATTACAGTTAGGTAAAATTGTTCAATACATAGTTAATTACTTTATTAAACAGTTTATGAAAATGATAAGATGCATAGATAGAAAAGTTGAAAATTTAATTCTTGTAGAAAGGAACATGGTCTGATCATAAGTGGGTAATTCTACTTCGACCACAGACCGTTCAAATTAAATCGTGCTTCTATTAAAGTTAAGGCGTGAAAACGCCAATATTGACAGTCTACCTATACAACAAAATTTGTTGAGAACTTGAATATACGCTGGAGATAAGATAATTTTCTTCTACGACTAAAAAATCATTCCAACTATTTCGTGAGATAACGACATCTGAAGATAGTAAAAGAAACAATGATTCTGAAAAGGAAAGATTGCACTATACATCTATTCTATTAATAAATAATTGTGACAGGAAAAATTTGTAACAAAAACCAATTCTATTAATAAATAATTCTAATTGGTAAAATTTGCAACAAAAACTAATTCCATTAATAACTAATTTTGAAATAAAACAATTGCACTAAAAACCTTCTTCAATAATAAATAAATTTGAAAGAAAAAAATGTGCTCTAAAAAACAATTCAGTTAAAAAGTAATTTTAGCAGAAAAAAATGTACTCTGAAAAACAATAGCGTTAAAAAATAATTCTGAAGGAAAAAATATAAAACTTGCTACCTAAATAAAATAAATTTTTGATTATACCATCGATTAGCAGTTAATCGAGCAATTAATCATTCGATTCCACCGTGCAAATCCTCCAATTAATTTTCAATTTTTAACTGACATGAAAAATTTAATTAACGAACCTTGAAATCGATCAAAGTTTTCGCATTTTTCGAAGATAGTAGACTGATAAACAGATGCGATCGATAATAATTAAACGCCTTGACCAAACGACGGTCATTGAAATGCGTTTACGAATGGCCGATTTCATGCTTAGCCAATCTCGGAGCACGATAACGACGTAATTATCTGTTCAGGTAAATACGAACGCCAACAGTTTTATCTTCAAGGTTCGCGTGAAAAACCACGACAAACTACCTCACACCCTTAATTACGTTCCATCGGCTCTTTGTTCGAGATTGTGGAGAACACGCGTCGCGAATTGTATAAGACCGCGTTTCACTAATCTTCAAACGCTCTTAAATTACGAAACTAAGGAGTAAATAGGTACTTCGTTTGTAGAAATGTTTCAGATTATTCTTTGTAATAGAGATTATTTCTTTGTAATGTAATAGTGTTGATTATTTTAATTTTATGAGTTTGATGTGGTAAAATATTTTGTGGAATGGTAATTTTAAAGCCTTTGATAGGGTTAGAAATATGTTAAAAATATAACACATTATACAATTTACATGAAATTAAGAACAAATTAAAAATGTCATAAGATACATGATTGAGAGACGTGTAAAATTTTCATGTCAATTCTTCTGCAATTTTTAAATCGAAATAAAATAGACACTCCATTAAATATTCTACTATTATAAATAATTTTATAAATTGTTTAAAAACTTCATAAATTACATAATAATTTTCAAAACAATTTAAGATTAACTTTAATGATTATGTTACTGTACATCACCTTTCTTTTTTGTATGAAAATTTTGTTCTAAAAATATAAGGATTATTACATAAGTACCATTACGTCAAA